CATGAAACAGGGTGGTAAACCAGTCCTTGAGATAAGTGACCTGCTCGATCTGGAAAAGACCACAGGGTGTCTGCTGAAATTTGATCAGGTCAGAGTAATACATCCCTCTGGGCCAGTCCAGAACTATGAGGCTCACCAGAATGCCCTCCATCTTGATGCTGCAGAGCAGATGAAGCAGGAGTTTCAGAGGAGGAAAGGAACAGGTCAGTCTGTACTAATGCCACGCAGTCACCAGAGCATCCACTGCTGCTTCCAGAGGATCTCTATCTGGAGACAAACCCGTACAGTTTGTTTTTGAACCTGAAGTCCAGGAGGTCCACATCCAGTGTCTCCCCACCTGTGACACAGTTCTTGAAACGCATCCAGATGTAAGCACCATGGATCCAGGTGCTGTCGGCTGATGTAGTCTGCCTGTCAACTGTCCACACCTGGAATGTGAACGGCTTACAAGGCTGGAAGCTGGAGTCCTGCCCAGGCTAGAATCCTTTCTACCTCTATTGCAGTGGCAGGACTTCTGGTTCCTTCCCATTATTTGATGTATGCCACTACAATGGCATTGTCGGACTGGATCCTGATCGGATGACCCTATATTCAAGGTGTCTAGACTTGTATGGGCAGCCAAATTACTTGGAGCTCCAGAATGTTGATCAGGAGACAAAATTCCTCTATCAACTTAGTCCCCTGCACTGACGAGATGTTTAGGACTTCTCCCCAGTCCTTCAGGATGGCATCTGTTATGATAATCTAAGAAATCTAAGATAGTGGGAATAAGGATTTTCTCAACTGCAGAGAAGGATTCTTGAGCCACCAGGCCAGAGATAACCTTGTTCTTGATGTCAGGTGAGTTGGTTTGTCCAGAAACTGAACCTAATTTTCCCACACTGACTGAATGTGGTGTCACAGGGGTATGGAGTGGAATTGAGCAAACAGTACTACCTTGTAACTCTAAGGCAGAATTGCAGAGTCTCCTGGACGGTAGAGTAAAATTTTGGGAGAGGTGGAGTAGACATTTTTCTAACTCTGCATCTCGTTGTATGTCAGCATTGGTGTTGACTGTTCCCTTAACAGGTGGTTGTTCATGTAAACTGCAATACGAATACCCTAGGAGAGTAGTAAGGCTTACATGGGTGTTAACACCTTGATGAACATACAGGGTGTGGAAGACAGACCAAACAGTAGGGCTACAAACAAGTAGTATTGTATGCCCACGTCAAAACAGAGGTATCGCTGATGGGCATTGAAATATGGGGACATGCAAGTATGCATCCTTGGCTAGAAAGTCTTTCTAATGAAGGGAGGCTATGACAGACCTGGTGAATTTTATAGAAATGAAAAAATTAGTCTTTAGATCCCAGGTGTGGCGGGGACCCCTTTTGGTTTTGAACCATAAAAAATGTTAGGAGTAAAAACCCTACAACTTTTCTGCAGTTGGAACAATGGGAATAACTCCCTGGCTCAGATCTGCATGAAGGCCTGCAAGTCGGCTGGGGCACAGGCAGGTTGGATAGCATTAACCTGGGAGGGGGCAGTGAAAAACTCTGGCTTGTAGACCCTGTAAACCACTTCTCTTACCCAGACAATGGAGATACTTTCTGACCGGGTGTTCAGAAAGGCCAAGAGATGCCCCCCCCCTCTTTGGAAAGTGGGGGCATCACTTCATGCTAAAGAGGACTTTTCTGAAGTTTTGTGAGATTTAGGGGACCAGAGTCAATTGTAATTGAACTGGGCCCCTGGCTTCGATCTGACCTTGCAAATTAAAGCCTGGGAGTAACAACATGAACTTTTCGTGGCCTCAGAGAGAGAGCAGTCTTTCAGTTTTGTGCTTTATGTTTCTGCTGCAGGGGCAAATTAGTACTTTTACCCTCAGTGGCATCCTTTATGAAGGTATCCAGAGTCTCAACAAAAAGACGCCCACGAACAAAAGGCATTTGTAACCATTACTTTTTACAATGCTGTTTTGCAGACCAACATTTTAGCTAAAGATTTCTCTGCATGTTCACCGACAGGAAACTCATTCTGTAAAAAATAGAGACAATGTTGACTAATCCACTAATCCAGAGCCTGTGCCACACCTCTGGAACCTGAAAGCACTCTATGGCTAACACAGTACACAGAGATTTTCAAAAGGACACCTTATCCAAACCATGCTCTCTGCTTATTTTTTTTTACATGTCCTTCAACAGCCGCAGACTTTGGGAACAAGAAGCAGACATTCAAGATATAAAACCAAAAAAAACAGATTATAACTCACAGGCACCAAGATACGCAAGTATAGTTAAGAGAGACACATTGAGTGTATCAGTAACAACCCATACACAAGATCAGCAGGGTGCAGTGCCTTTTTTAAGTAAATAAGCTTGCAAGGCCCTATTAAACAGAAATTAAGGTTTAAAGAAAACTTTGAAAACATTTAATACAAATGTCACTGTAAAAATATAAACATATCCTACCTTTTTGGCTTAGTGAAAAAAACAACATTTACTTTCATCCACAATGCAGGGATAAGGAGTAAGTGATGCAGCGTTCAAAGGTCAGTATGTAATGCAGAAAGCAGGAGTCAGTAGTAAGTAACGCAGTAGAGTTCAGAGATCACTAGTATGTAATGCAAGGAGTTCAGAATAGTAACACAGAACTCAGAGGCAGGGCCAGATTTACGTTTTTTTCCACCTAACTTTATTGCTATCACACAGGAGATAACAAGCCCCTGTGTGATAGCAAGTTAGATGGCTACTTCCTCCGGCTTCAATCCACATTAATAGGACGCCGGAGGTCTTCAAGGTCACCGCTGCCGCCCCTCTGCGCTCTACCGCCCCGAGGCCGGGCCTCGGTGGCCTTGTGGGAAATCCGGGCCTGCTCAGAGGTCCGATTAATAGATAACACAGAGCGCAGTTGTCAGTAGTCTGCAACACATAGTGCAGGAGTCAAGCTTAAGTAATGCAGAGTTCAGGCCAGTAGCATGTGCTGCAGAGTTCAGGGGACAGGTGAAGGTAATGCAGAGTTCAGAGTAGTAAGTAACGCAGGGCTCACAGGGCAGAGTGGTTGGTAATGCAGGGCTCGCAGTTCGGAGTAGTAAGCAACGCAGAGCTTACAGGTCGGAGTAGTAAGCAACGCAGAGCTTACAGATCAGAATAGCAAGTAATGGGGGCTCACAGGTCAGAGTAGTAAGTAACACAGAGTGCAGGGGGCAAAAAGTTCAATAAAATGTATTAGTACTGTGTCACAATGTTAGTACTGCTCCTCCCCCTCACCTCCAGTTGATGGTGGTGGACATTGATTGGCAGGCCAGGACAAACAGGATTACCCCTGCACCGAGTCACAATTTTCATCCATCCGGCATCGCCTCCAAGCTCAGGTCAGAGCCTCTAGACTAGATACCTCAGCCAACCAGGCCTTGCCTATACCGAAGGTATCACTGTTGAATAAACTGACCTTTTCTTCTATGTTTACTTTTGACATGTGTAATGAAACCTGCTTGTTTTTAAACTGGGGCCTTGTAATGCACCATCTTTGAGAAGTTGCCCATATGATTTATCTATACAGAATGTAAAACTGCATCCGCACACGTTCAGGACTGTCAACTCATCGCTTGAAGAATACACATTAATTAAGGGTTTTTGTACAAGTATTTGTTTGCTTCTGCTGCTTAATGCAAAAACCTTGTGAATCAGCTTAGAAGTAGGTCAAAAGCACTGGGGAACTCAAAAGAATCATAGAAGCAATTCAAACTATCTTCAACGCAAGATGAATGCACATGAAAGCTTGTTGTATTTGTCCCTTTACACAATCCCTTGATCTAACCGACCATGCAACCATTACCATACAGATATGGGATAGTTTTCAAACATGCCCACATCAGAATGCACTTGCTCTTACAACTTAAACTCAACCGCTAAAACATCATATAAGCTTTAACATGTTCAGAACATTTCAGAAGTTGTTTTCAATCTTTTCACATGTGCAGTTTTAAGTAAAATAATACCTGGTGATCCTTAAAGTCTCTGATGGAGACTACAAGGGGCTGTGCCCACACAGCAGTCAAGCAGACACAAACTAATGCATGTAGACAGAAACAGACCGCAAAGAGGCTGGAGAAGATCAGCAGCACTGAGATGAAAAAAGGCTATAAAAAACTGAAACCGTATTCACTTAGGAAAAAACTATAAAAATAGTGATGGCACATAGTACTTAGCAAATTAAGGAGCATATTTATAAAGCTGTAAATGTGATACTCACCAAACATTCACAGGTGGTCAAAACACATGCACCATGCAAAATCACCTGCAGTGAATGTTTTGCTAAATTCACTGGCTTATAAATATATCCCTAAAAATGCCCCCTAATGGTTTACATTCACTGTAACTCTCAGACACCATGTGTAAATATAGCCTTCTTGGAGACTGACTGCCACACAGATTCTGAAATCTAAGAGCAGTGACAACATTGTCACCATGGAAAAATAGGATTTTCTCAACTCACCGTAAATACTTTCCGTCTCAGGTCATTGAAGGACACAGCCAAATCTTCACTACTTCATAGGGAATGGTAGTGTTCCTCGTAGGCTTGTCCTACCCGGGCATGTTTCACTTAGCTACCTTTTTATGGAGGGTCCACTAACGCAGCAGACATATCCCCCAGTTGTGTTCTGTGTCGCACCCTAGGTGGGACAAGCCATCAGGAACACTACCATTCCCTATGAGGTAGTGAAGATTCAGCTGTGTCCTTCATTGAACCTAAGAGACATAACTATTTCTACTGTAGATGTTTTCCAAACTGCAACTGGAAAGGACTGTTAAATGTATGAGCTATCATTAACTTAACATATTCCCCAGCATGCTGGGAACTATTTTTCATAAACCTAAAGACTGGAAGTACTTACCTGTTTACTACTTACTGCCAAGGTAGTCACAGCAAAGCTCTTAAGGCCAGCGTTACATTGAATAATAGAGGTACAGAAAAATACACAGATTCAAATGTCCACTTTTTTTTTTTTAATCTGAAAATATGAAGCAAAATTTAAAACAGGCGAAACTAGACAACGTTGTTTTCTATACAAGTGAAACACTATTTAAAGCCGGTCGTTTCCTGTTGAAATACTGAAAAAGAAATGCACATTAAATAATTGTTAACATACACCAACCAATTAAATAAAATAAAAATATATTTAAGGATAGAAGAGGAGCTATCCTTTTATATCTAAGGTGGACAATACAGAAGAAAAAACAAAGTTGAGTTCTTCAAGCTGAGAGTTCTTCCAGGTCATTTTGGGGGAAAAAAACCTTTCGAAGTCTGTGATTTGATGCTTTGCATTTTTCGCAAGTTGGAGTCAAGGTAGATGCACGTAGTCTTTGATGTGCATTTTGAGAAGGTATCTCTGTAAAATTAAGAGAGCTACAAACTGAGTTCAAAAAGTCATTCTTTCTATGGAAAGGTAGTTATTGCAAGAATGTGGCATTGGAACATGTGGACATGAATTCTCTTTGCTTCACATAATGTGCATCTCAGTTAACAACCCGTGAAATTTTGGGTGGAGGTGGGGGCATAAGTTCAGCATCTGGATCCATAGAGTGCTTTCGAATCTGTCCCTGAGTAACTCCTGTTAATCGGTCAATTAATTCAAACAGCATTTCCTTGGTTACTGGATTCTGGATACTGTTACAAACAGCTATAAAACAAAATGTGCAGATGTTACAAAATACCAAAATAACTAAAATCTTTCTTATATATATATATATTACACAAATTTTTTTAAGCAATAAAGTGTGTTAAATAAAAAAACATGTATGGTGGAATTTCATGGTCATTTACACAAAAACACATTTGTTCTTCTATTCTACAAAATTCCCAGTTCAAGAAAGAAGCCCATGCTGAGAGAAATGTGGAGACTGCCACTTCTAATTTTTTTTTTTTTCTGGAAATGCTATTTGGG